GCACAGTCATAAATAATGTTATATGTGCAAAACTTCTCATAGTTTACGATTCTTCACCTGTCTTAAAAAAAATAAAAACTTTTTTTTTAAATAACTTCAATTTTGTTTGTCTGTTTTGCTTCTCTTTCATTTTATTTTATGGGTTTATTTAAAGATTGTCAGAGTCCGTCGTTCTGCCGTCGTCACAGTATGGTACTCCTGCAAAATATACCGATTCGTCAAATGAATCAGCCTACAATGTTTGCTTTGACTTTTTTTTTCACTTTTAAAAATTATTTTAAAGATTATTAAAATTTCTTTAGGGGATTTAACGAGGATAATTTGCTGAGGAGAAACTGGATGAAAATATTTATCAACTTTTTTTGAATATGATAATTTGATTAATTCGTATTGCATTAACTGGATAACATCTATTTCAATTTTCTTTCATTTGTTTGATACCTTTTAAATTATTTCTGCCGTCATCTAAGGATAACTGATTTAACAAAGATTACCAAGTTTTCTAATTTTTCTAATCCTTCGCGTATTCAGAAAAAAAGAGTTGCTAAGGAATTACGTTTGCATTACACACCACGGGCGCGAAAGTTGAAGTTTGGTGACACTCAAACGGAAACTTGTGAGTACTTTTTGCGGTGTAGCACTAGTAACATTTTTTAATATCCGCAGATGAATTTTTTGTTTGTCAAGACAACAACAAGATTTATTTAACTTGTTGCGACTAGAGTACTATTCATAGCCAACAGCGTCAGCTTGTTCTCGCCTTTTTAGTTCGAGTTTGAGCAGTTTTGACCGTATTGTCACAAAACAGTGGATATGTTCCACGACTTTTTAACTTATTTTTAAAATTTAAGTTGTCCCAAATAGAACCTCTCAACATTCTCCAAGATTTGTAGCTGCCAATTTGATAATTTGCTTCTTTGAAAGTCTAAATTGTTACCTGGACTTGAGGCAAATAGTGGTTTTAATGTATAGCGGAAAGGAAATCATTCTTATCATTAGATGTTTCATTAGCTGTCAGAAGATATTTTTTGAGCCATGGCGACTGGTTTTTTAAATAACTCGGCATTATTTTTTTCTTTTTTTTTTTTGAGTCGTGACTGGCTGTTCGGATTAACAAACCACTTAGACTACAGTTCTTTACAGTTATTGGTTCTGAAAGATTCGGGTCCTTAAAATTGCATTCTTTGCTTAGAAAGACCATATGAAGTACACTGTAATAATTGAACTTTAACGTTTTCAGTAGCTGAGCGGGTGGCAAATCACGTTCAGCAATGAGCTTTAAGAAAAATTTTGAGATTCATTTTTGTAAGACTGCGGTAAACATGAAAAGGATAAAGAGTTTTTTTTGTTTGGAATTACTAGTTCGACATAAGAAAAACGTCAGGAGGCCTCAAACATCATACTTCCTTAAATTTTTTTGGCTTTTATCCTACTGTTATAACTTCCTTTTAAATTCTGGCATACTGAAGACCATGTCAAAACTAGAATTTCTTGACTTATGAGCTCGGGAAGAGTTTTGACTGTATCTCATTCTCTGCTACTCTCTATGAGTCTAGTTTTATATTCTTATTATAACTCTGATATTTTATTCCCCTTCGTTCTATTTTTAAGTGGGTGCAGACAAGGTCGATTGGTTTTATAGTGTCTAACTTTTTTGTTTAGAGATAATTTTTTTGGGATTTGTGAGTTTTTTTTAAGATTCGAGTGGTTACATGGTTAATATTTATGAACTTGTAGTATTAAGTATTTTGTTTGTGGTGACTGATAGAGTTTTCCATGTAGCATTGGCAACTTCATAGAAGCTTATATTTCTGTAAGTTCTTTTGAAGACGTCGCAACAACCTACTGCTTTAAACACTTCATAATGTGTTTTCTAAAATTTTTAAGGCTGTTTGGTTAGTAATTTCAGTGAAGGAGCCGTCTGGGGCATCAACCAGTGAAGTTACAGCATCACCTAATTCACGTCGGAAACAGAATCTCTCAAAATTAGGAGAAGGCGATGATGTCACTGTAATGATTAATCTCTACTTTGCCCATATTTTTGGGTGCAATAAAGCAAAACAGTTTTTTGCTTTAGATCGTCAGTTTTCCGAATGGGCGTCCTCCTCCATGCCCACAAGATCTTTCTTCTATACCAGTTTATCTCACTGAAATGCAGCGTGAACTCTTCTTTTCTTTCATTCGTCCAGTCTCCTCATCGACCGATGGAGCTCATAAATGTATGCAGTGCGGGCAGATTGTTGCGAATATGATGGTAACTTTCACTCAACGTAACTCAGTGTTTCTTCAGTTTCAGTTTGTCTTTGTTGATGAGTTTAGATAGAGTGCTCACCGATCTATGCTAATGCATTTGGAACTTGGTAGCAACTTTGTCTTTCCTTTGTCTTTTTCCCCTAAACTTATTTTGGTTTCCGTGCCAGAACTTATGCAGTAATACAGAAGTCCAAAATATTGTTTTTTTTTTCTTTGTAGGAAGGGAGGCGACATGCAGTTGGGCATCTTCGCATAATGCGTTTACGTTGTGCACTATGTGACTGTGGATCCTTCTTTTGTTCAGACATGCGTACTCACTTGCAAATGAGACATTGTGAAATGCTGCACCGAGCTCCAAAAGGTTATGTTCTGCCTGGAGACGTGACCCCTTGTATGACTGATGCTCAGGTAATAGGATTTTAAATGCTGATTACTGTTACAATATTACCATTACAAGGAACTCTATTGATAACTTTTACAGGCAGATGAGCTCACCAAACTTGTTGATCCAATGAAACCTGGTCGAGTGATGTACACGTCTGGGATGGTATTCTTCTGTCGAATTTTTATTTATTTTATCAGAGAACGTTTAGCAGTTTTCCTTAAAGTTTTGGGTGTGATTTCAGATTGTTAGTGCAGCCAGTCACAAACCGTATTACCCAGACGCGGCAATTGAAGAAAGAGTTTTGGGATCTGCAAGACCTGCAGTTTTCAATGGAAGCCCTCAGAAAGGTACCTCTCCAGCACCTAAAGGTCCTGAAGGTTGATGGTACATTAAGAAGTAATTGTCCGTACAACGATCTCAACCATAATATAAATAATTGCGCTGGAACCATCTTCATATATTTTTTTAGATGTATAGAGATTAAGTTCATTATTTTCATTGTTAATTTTTAAATCAGATTCTTTATTAAATCTATATCTTTAGTGTTATAGATTTGAAGTAACAAACGCTTTCTTCGGTGTTATTCAAATGATCCTTTTTTTTTGTTTTTTTTTACCCTTTGTTCTCGTCAATATGTTTAGTCAACAGCGTTGTAGCTGGCGCTTAAAACCGTCACCGAGTAAATAGTTAATTCATCATTTTGTTTTATATTACTAAAAAACTTAGAAAGAAAACCTACTAAAAACTTCTGCTTGTTATTGGTTGAATTGCTGTGCGAATTGACAAATATAAAGTGTTTTTTTGCGTTTACCACAACGTAGTTTTATTGCACTTACTCTTTCCCCCCTTTGTCCTCCTTTTTTCTTTTGTTTCAAATAGGTTGCTGTGGAAAGGTTTTACGAGTTAATGTTTTCAATTAGAATAGCTAGTTTGATTTTAAAGGATTTTTATCCCAATGAAACACGTCAATTACTGACTGATGAACCATTGGAGGAAATAAGTAGTTTCTCCTCCTGCTCAAAATTCTTTAATTACAATTATTAGTAAGTGTGTGCATTGCTTTAATGTACATTTCGATTGCATGAAACTGGGGGTGCACTAGGACCGTCTTGGAAGTGAGGTACTCTGTGTTGTTACAAGCGGGTAATAGTCGGAAGTAAGTATTTGACATCGCAATTATAAGGCTTCAAGTTGGATGTTTGTTCTAACCTGTAAACGTTAGGTTTTGTAAATTTTTTTTCGTTTCCAACAAGGTATGCTCGTAGATTTCACTGCATATTGTTAGTCAGAAATTTTTGATTTGTCCAACGGTATATTACTTGGTGGTTTTAGTTTTTTTGCATACGTTACAGAAGTCTGTCTTTGAGAGGGTAAGGAGAAGAAGAAGAATCATGTAAAAGGGAAAGCGGAAAGCCTCTTATTTCGTCGCAACAATTGATATGTTTAAAAGAGAAGCAAAATACACTCTCACCAATTTTTTAGTTAAAGCTCTTTCTTTTAAAATAATTGGTATTTATGGTTTAAGGAAATATTTTTTTAGCCAGTGTTGATAACACTGATGTTTTTCGTTGTATAAATAATGGTAACCCGTAAACTTCTTTTTTTGTTCCGCTTTTATCCATTATAAACTCGACAAGGTCCTTTCTTTCTTCCTATATACTTGTTTCGGAATTATTTTCGTATTTTAAACTTTTTTGGCTAAATTCTCATTTTTGATCATTTTAGTTTCGTTATTCTTATGACTGGTTGTATATATGTATTTTTTACGTATACCCATAAGAGTAGACCTTAAAAACAAATAACAGTAACGGTGTCGAAAACAGCAACAACAGCAACATCGAAGAAGTTAATCTTTATATTAGACAGGAGAGTTTTTTCTGATTTTTGATCTTTATGATGGCTTCAAATGATAGAAATCGATACCTAAGCCGAACTTGCATAAATTTTTTTTCATTTTTCTTTATTTCCTACTGCTTATTTTTATCTGTTACTTTTTTGAAGATGAGGATATTAATTATGAAGACAGTGACGATGATAATATTAAAAGTATACAATGATTACAGCAGTGATAATAACAGTGACAAAAAAATGACCGTAAAAAGCTATGATAACTTTTGAAACATATACGTATGTATTATGTCGATATATTATAATATAAATAACTCTTGTCGCTGCTTTCTTCATCCACATCATCGCCATGTCGTCGCCGTCATTGTTTTTATTGCTGTAGCCGTTATTCACGTTTTTGTAAGTCGTAATCTGCAGGCGTCAGCTTTTTAGGAACGTGAACAAAATGATACAGTGTTGACGGGGTCATGGATAAGTCCAGATTACTAACTAAATATCACCTAAGTGGTATTTCTCTTATTGGTTTTCTGCACCTTTGTATCCATTCTTCCATATACAGGAATTGCGATCATCAATAGTTTTGTTGGTCTCTTTTTTTTGGCTCAAAAAAAGGCGAAAAATAATAAATAATACTACACAAAACAGTGATTAGCAAAAAAAAGCAAATGACCGAAGACTGGAAGCAACGACCTGTAAAGATATTTTGAAGAATGAAAAAAAAATGGATGAATAGGAGAACTAAACTATGGTTGAACAGCTTCTTGTTTGACTAAGTTAACAAATGTTTTTTTTTTTCCCTTTGCGAAATCCTCTGTGTCAGGTGGCCATTTGGTCATAGGTATCATTGAGTAACCGGAGGAATGCTTCACGCATTTGATAAGGCATACTTTCAATGCAGCAAAAAAGTTGGGTAAAGTATTGGAGATTTTTTCTTTTGTATGCGTAGACAGCAGCAAATAATATTTTAATATAACATTCTTATTTACCAGCGGAATCATTTTTTCCATCCGCTCCCTTTGTTTTCTTTCCACTTTTCTTTGTAACGTGCTATTTATGGTGTAAAAAAATTTAAAACTCTAGGAACCAATGTGTTGCGAATCGATCTAAGAAAAACTTGTAGTTGTCGCTTTTTTTGCCCCCCCAAGTCTCCTGCTTTTATTTATTTATTTTTTCTTTGCAATACTGTTGTAAACTTCATTTGAATTTTCTACCTTTCACATTTTGACCAAACCGTTCAACACTGTTTTTGTGGCGTCATTTTTCTTTTCTTTTGCCGGCATTTGAGATCCGACAGAAACCGGGGCACGGATACCGAGTTTTGAAACACCACGACGATTACACTCGATTTAATCTGTTGCTGTTCTTCAACACATGCGCACCATATTATATATATATATATATATATATATATATATATA